TTTTTTTTTTTTTTTTTTTTTGTAAAAATAATTGTAAAGTTTCACTGTTCCTTGAAATCTAGTATTCGAGAGATATTATTCTGTGTTATCCTTCAATCTTATCAAAACTTTAACTTCTTTTTAAATAAAAGTATTTCAGAAGATAAGTCTATAGATGATGAAAATTTGCCACATGCTTCTTCGCAAGCTCTAGTTTCTGGAAATGATTCAAAAGCTGTAGGCTCCATAATCGGTATTGCTCCAATTAATACTGAGCAAGTTCTCATAAACCAAGAAGAGGACATGAAGGTTTGTACTTCAAACAGGCAGTTGAAACGGCAATGCAAAAGACGAGATATTGCTGATTCTGCATCAGAAGATTTTTCTTCTGTTAATTTCTCTGTGGAAACACAAATAGAAGACGTTGTAAAAGAAGAATCACCAACTCCAATAAGTATATCAATTCCTAAATCTATAAGAGGAAAGCCTCGAAAACGAACAGGGTTAATTAAACTGAAGCGGGGCAGACTTCACAAAAGGTTAGAAACCTTCTTGAAACTTTTTAAGTTCTGGGTTCTAGTTTGTACTGAATTCAATGAAGTTGGACAACCATTCTGTTGTTCATGTTATATGCTTTATAATTATAGGCGCTAAAAGAAAAAAATCAATTTATGCTCGTGTTAAAATGAATTCTTTATACAACGTATGAATCAAAAATGTTATTTCATGTTTTGTGGTGGTTGTATATGGGCATTTTATATCTTTGCAAAACCAATTTTGTTGGTTTAAAATATGGTTTTCGAAGGAGTTGAAAACTAATTACTGAGATCAAATTTGCTTATACTTCACAAAATATTGTCAGAATCGCAGCAATTTTATGTAGTAGAAGTGAGTTTGACCTCAAGAATTAGTTTTAACTTTCATAGCGTATATTAATTGCTTTATAACAGTTTTCAATTCCGAGATGCTATTGATAAGGAGAATGCTTCAACAAATGATGCTTCAAAAAGCGTTATGTCCGCGCTTTTACCAGATGCTTCTTCGGAAGATTCATGTAATGAGGTATGAATCGAAACTATTTATTGTATGAAAAGTAGTCTAAAACATGTTATGTCGTTCACATATACTGTGCGGTTATGATTTTTTATAGGATTTTTCGACTGAAAAAATAATTAGTTCTGATATTTTAATCTAGATTTTAGCCAGGATTGAGTGTCTCTCAAACCGTGGATCAAGAATCATCAGATTCTCATGACTGTAGTTCACAAAAAGTTGGTGATAATATTAGAGTTGATAATGAAGTAAGTTTTTATTATATTTGAAAGAGCAACAAAAATATATGTTTGTCAGATCAGTTTCCTTCAGATAATGAAACAAGACTAATGCTTTTTCGATTTTATATAATTTATGGAGTGTCTCTATTATTAATTTTAGAATATTTCAACAGATTTTTAACATTTGTGATTTCGTGGAAGATATGTCTTTTAGTTCATATTATTAATGTATTCTGAAACTTCTTTGAAAAAATTTTCTTTTGTGATTAGCTTTTCATTCTGCTTATTATAGTTGTGAAAATTTTTAGGGTGAAAATTCGGGGACTGAGATTTTGGTTTCTGATATGTCGGAAGTATTAAGTGATAGCGTGGCTAATCGAACTCAGAATAATGCCTCAGAAGAAACCATAGACACAGTCGATGCTACTAAAGATGACTGTGATGTTAGACTTTATTTCTTCAGTAGATTAGATTGGAGATTACTAAAGCCGTATGAGAAAAATGTAATAGCACTTGTGCATTCAAGTAGCCTTTTTTTTAGGGAGATAAGTTTGGAAATAAAATGAAAGAATTATAGGATGGAGGGCGTTTGCATATTGTGGAACCGGGTGATGACGACGATTCTTGTAACGTCGGAGATCGGTTTTTACCGATCACAGAAGTGGTTACTATTCTGATTTTGCATGCAGTCATGTATTTGTTATGTCCTGATATTAAATTGTTGATTTAATTCGAATTGTTTGCTCGCACCTATCAAAATCGTCACTTAATTTTTTCTTGGTTTAGATTTAATGATCTGTCTAAGCGATGAGTCCAATAATTTTGTTACTGCTATTTCAGGACCATGATTCAGATAGTGTCATGGATGTTGTCAGTATGCTTTTAGCTAGAGTGTGTGAAGCGTGTTCATCTCACGTAGATTTGATTATGGAACCGCTGAAGCGACCAAGCTCACTTTCAGCAGAAGAATCACGTCGTGTTCCCCCTCTGCGTATTCGGATACCTCGTAAACGTGCACGTCGTCCAGCACGATCACATAACTATTCTCCACCACTACCTGTTACCAGACATCGTTTTGAAGAAGTACTGAGGCGATCAGATGCAACATCAAAAGAAATTAATGACGCCGTTGTAGAAATAGGACAAAAAAGGTAAGTTTCAGGCATTAAGTACCTAAATTTGTTTTCATAAGCTACTTTTACAAAGTCATTAAGGTGATTCTTATATTCAGTTTTTCAGGTAGTCACGGAAATCGCGTTAACATTCATTCCTACTTACCTTTTTTAAGTAATATGTTCCTTGTAGTAGCAGCTTTGTTCTCGTACTGACTTGCAATTTGATTACTGAATTTTGATCAAATTTCGTTTATTTGTTTTCACTTGTTTTTGTTTTGCGCTTATTGATATAGAAAATAAATGTTTGAAAAGTTTGTGACGTTCTTCCTAACGCATTTCTTTTCTAATTAGTTAATAGTACGTCCTTTTTCAAGCACAACATTAATCACTCGGAATGTTATTATGTGCGATGTTGTTAACCACACAGCGCGTTTATACTACAAATTTTTATATTAATAAAAAGAGCTCTGGATTATAACATTAACTATGATTATAACATTAACTTAACAGATGATTCGTTTGTATATAGGGTTGCAATTAGTGTTAATGTAGTTTTGTTTTCGGTTGATAAAAACCAAGGAAAGTCAAAGAGAGGTCTTCACCAGTCATGCAGAATCTGGCTCAGTTCCATTACTGCTCGAAGATTCTAATATTAATTCGTCAGCCCCTTCCGACTCAAATTCTGTATGTTTACTCTTTTCACTGGATTTGTTCTGTATCGGAACAATCATATTATGGTTATTTGGTTGATCATAGATTTTGACGTTTATAATTTTAAAGTGTTTAAGTAGTGTAACTACAAATCTTTAACCATTATATCAGGTAAATACTAAATAACTGCAGTATTCGTAGTCATCCTGTCTCTCTATAGATTGTGGATTTCAGCACACAGAACATTTTTACAGGTTTTGGCTTCATTGTCAAGTAGTAGCACAGAAAAATGCACAGTCACAGATTCGGTTGTCATGTATGAGGAAAGCGCCATTATTGAAAAAGGCGATGCTACCTCTAATCTATCTCAGTCATGCCTTTCAGAATCCCGCGAGTTGGTACGTGATTGGGGATTGTTTTAATCTTTTGCTTTTTCAATACAGTTACGGAAGTTCTTTCCTTTTTCCTTTAAATGCTTCGTAAAAAAGGCTTCATTTACATAAATGAAAGGTTTGGCTTCTTTCCATCTTGTGAGTAGATTGTATTGGCAATAATGAGGAAGGTAGAAGTGATTCATCAAAGATGAACTGTATTTTAAATTTTGTTTCATGTTGTTTTTCAGCAAAGCCAAAACACTCTTGTTAGTACATCTCCTATTGCTGGACTGGCTGTTGAAGTAACTGGTCGGTCCACACGGAAAAGGCCAGTTTCTTATGAACAACTGTATCCTTCTTTATTTCGTCGACGACGTAAATCAAGTCATGTGAAAAGTTTCCATGATCTTGATCAACCTCAAAGTTCCACACACCCCAGCAGTGGTTCGATGGGCAATGTCGATGTGGCACCGGAATGTATGTCAGCGGAAAAGCGTCGAAAACGGCGACAAAGAGGTTAAAAAGATGCGCAATTCCTTGTCTTTATTGTAGTTAGTAATAAGTAGTGTAATTTTTTAGAGCTTTACAGGAAGACCTGTTAACAATAAAGCCCAACAACCAAGAATCAAAAATTTGGCGACCGATGAGGGTGTTAAGGATTTTGAAAATCGAGAGGTTATATCTTTATTTTAAATGTAGCTGCAATCTAGTTCAATCTTGTTTTTAGTAGGTGTGAATTTTTGAACATTTATTTGGCATAATTTATTGCATTTTTTTCACTGTTTCTTTTTTTTTTTATTACAAATAATATTTGTAAGGATCAAGTAAATCCTTCTCATGGAAGTGGTAGTTTAAAGAACCTTGATACTGGTGATACACTGAGTGAGGAAGCATCGAGTAAAGCAAAAGATGTACATCTCGCAGAAAGTACTGGAATCTTACCTGAAAAGGTTTCCTGTGTAAGAGAAAAGTCAAGACGTTTATCAAATAGTTCTAGTAGAGAAAAGTCCGATCATGTGACTTCTGAAGGTAATTTTTCGCAGGTGATTAAAGTTATTCTTTTCGGAAAAAAATTGTTAAAGTTTAAATTTTACTTTTGTGACTGGCTCAATATTTGTTTTGGGAATTTATTTAGCTTTCTCGATGAACCTATGACACAGTCACTGTAATATTTTTATTACTGCTGGTTCCAGATGTAACTGTTAGTTCTGTGAACACTCGTTTGCAAGTATCTTGTCCGATCGCATCGGAAACAGACATTTTTTCATCAGATCAGTCACACTCTCCCTCTATGTTCAGAAGTGTCAGAAGAAAAAGTAGCATAATTGATCCTGAACCCACAAGACCTGGTAACACAATTTTAGCTTATCGGATACTTTTTTCAACTATCTTGTAATGTAAAATTTATGAATAACAGTTCAATTTCAGAAGCAACTGAAGTTTCCGTTTCTGATCGATCCAAAAGTAAACGGCTATATTCGAGATCGGTACCTGAATCCGTAAAGCAAAAGTGCGTCAAACCGTTTTTTTATTCTGTATAGTAGAGTAATTAATGAATTCATTCTTTGGTTCGTCATAACATTGTATTTCATTATTCTTTGTTTCATGCACAACTCCAGTGAGTGTCGTAAAGTTCATTTAAAAGAAATCACGTTTTTTGAAAGGTATATCTGTTTTAGAATTTCAAGTAGAAATATGCCTTATTTCAAACGTATTTCTCAGCGTCGCAAACTCAATCCTCTTGCTAATGGTTTGAAAAGCCGTTCAAGTGACGACAACACATCATTCTTTTATCGTGAAATCTTATTGCGGGGGTTTGTTAATTTTTAACACTATCGGTCCAGTTTTTTTCACTTTTAATAGCTAAAGCATTTTTTGCTAAAGAAAAACTTGCTAAATTTTTAAATGCAGTCTTTAGTTACGGATAACAGTAGATGTCAAAATATCAGGATGGTCTAGAAAATTCTACAGATGTGTTCTCACGTATTCACTCAGTCGTTTTTGAGATATTTTTATCTTAAAGCACACAGTTCATTAGCCAAGCAGTTTTGAACCATCTTGATTTTATTAGTGTGTTTGTGATTTCACATGAAATTTAGAGATGATCTTAAGAAGAGTGATGGAGGGGATATAACTGTTGACGTTGATTCGGAACTGACAATTGAAGATGACGAAGAATCATCATTTGGTGGTCCTGCAATTTCTGCAGCAACCGAAATTAGCAGAATGTTGTCAAGACCTGAAACAGATGAAGACTACACAGAAAGTGATCATGATTACTTTCTCACATTGGATAATATTCGAACGATGTACTTTTAATTTTTATCCGAGTTTGGAGTGATGTTTTCAATTTATTCCCTGAACTAATTCAAATTGTATTAGCAGTTGCTGCTGTTACTGATCTATTACAACTCTTAGTTAGAAATCTTGTAGCAGTTTTTAGAAAAAAAAATCAATTATTATAACATTAAGGTTCATTGATGAAACTCCGGATCGAAAACGGCTATTAAATGATATAATGGCAATTATATTAGCTCAGTATTGCTCTGATATTGCATCTCAGAATATTCATGGTGGCGAATCAATACGTTACAATACAATAGTCAAGAATGCTTATCGGCTGCGAAGCAAAGCAATGATTTTTTCACAGGTTGCTTTGTATGTTGTTTCTATCATGTCAACGTTTTGGTTAGTCTATACATGGAATTTCTTAATACTGTAATCAAAAGAAAGTTGACGAAATCAAGTGTGTATTTGCTTGTGATTTGTCAGATTTATCTTTCATTGGAAATATTCAGAGCGATCAAGTATTCAAGGAAAATGTTAATAGTTAACGTGAATGTATTGTGTCATTTAGTGTTTGTATTCTGTTTATTAATAATTATAAAAAATTAAGGTTTGTCATTCAAATATTTGTCAACGAAAAGCACACATTTTTTTCATTACTTTTTGACGAGGTGGTGTAGTATAAGTTTTACTTATTTTTCGTTATTAAAATAATTGCTAAGGTTCAACGAAACGATGTGAAATGGGTACACCAAATATTTCTCAGACGCCTTGCGGTACCAATGTTGGCTGTTTATATAGATTTGCTGAGATTTAGCAAAATACCGGTTAGTAATTTCGAATTTTTCATTTAGCTTCAGTCAAAAAAAAACAATAATTTATTTAAGAAAATTTGTAAACTTTTGTATTTATTAGTTAGGTTTCTTTGAACAAAACAATAGATTCACTTATTTTTTTTTTGACAAAATGAAGAAGAAATCAAAAGGATTTGTCTTTACACTCAAAACATAAATGATTCAATATTTCGTAGGGTCGCAATTTGCTGGACTTACTTTTGGACAAAAATAGTGACGATAAGATTTTGAACAAGGTAAACAGTCATATTCAAGATTTTCTTACTATAAAGCCACTCGATCCTGAGGGAGCAGCAATCTCTAAAACTCTAAATGTGAGTTATTTAATTTGAAGTATTATTAAATTTAGATAATCATTCAATAATTCTCTTCCGGATGGATTTCGACCTTTATTCATCATATTTACAAACATTTTCTAACATTATTGTTTTTGTAGTATGGGAAGAAACTTTTGGTTCCTTATTATCTGCACTACAGTTTTAAGATTTTTAGAAAAGGCATGTAAAGGATTTATGTTTATTACTTGTTTCACCGAATTTCATACATACGGAATATCATTCAAGATCAAGATCTCATGAATATATGTTTAGGTTGGATTTTTCTTTTGAATAAGCAAGATTATTTTTCATGCACACAGATTTTTTTCTGTTTTGGAAGTTTTGTGTTTTTAGTATTTTATATGCGGTGATAGTGAAGGATGGTGTACAGAAGATTTTTGCTTTTGTTTTGTGAACATAATAGTAGTTTTTTAAACATTTATTCAGAATTTTATTACCTAACATTGCTGATCGAGTAGAGAGTATTCGAATGAATTTGCCTCCTGTACAGAATATGTCCATTTGTGAAGCTGTTGAATATTCTATTCGACTAGTATCGCGTAAAGTTGTCGAGGTACACCGGAAATATCCTGACCTTAAAATTGTACTTGTTGGATGGGGGACATCATGTGTTATAAATCATCAGGTTACCTCATTTCTTTAAACATTATTCAACCGGTGTAAAAGTCATGCTTGATTTAGTTTTACATGCTTATCTATCGTAAGAGGCTCTTTACTGCAGTAACATATCGATGAGAACATTTTATAGATTTTTGTATTACTATATGCTAGCAGAATTTAGGTTGTGCAAAGCATGCCAAATGTATCAGCGATCATTAATTTCGCATTTCCTATGAAGACAGCTGATGGGCCACGAGGCGTAAATTTTTTATCTATCAATTTGTATTTGTATTGTTTGTTTGAAATTTCGAATACTTAAAAGCGAAACGTGATTTTAGCACTTACTTAATACAAATTATTGCTTTGTCAAACCTATTAAGGGGTTTAGAAGTTATATTTTCATTTAGCATGTTGATGATGACATACTGCTTACATATTGTCCAACACTATTTGTGGTTGGAGACCAGGCAACTGACTGCGATGTTCGTCAACTCCAAATAATGGCTACTAGAATGATTGGTTTGTTGTTATGGTTTCAGCTGTAAAATTAACCCATGTGCATGAAGCGATGTAGGATGTAAAATGAACAACTTTCTATTAATTCGAAAAAGGTGCCGAAAAGCCACCAAAAAAACACCTATCTTTCTTGTTGTAGCTCCAACTGGAGTAATTGTCATTGGTTCAGCCAACTGCAGTTTGTATCCTTCAACATTTAAACTTACTATCGAACGATTTACTCATAGAACAGTCCAGAGAGCTTTATTGGTATGTTTTTAAATTTATTATCGTCAATTTATGTTTTTAAAGTTATATCATTTCTAAAGTCATTTATAAAAACTGCAGGATGATGTAATTGATTTTCTCCAATTGTATTGCACTTCAAACAGCACCCAGGGATTTCGCTTACATCCCTTAAAACTTGTTGAAGTGAACGATGTCGATTTATCAATTCTTCGTACTTCCAATTTGTTTTCGAGCAGTCAGACGAAGCGAGGCAAATCTGAAGCAGCTTCTAAAGGAAGTTCATCAATTCAAAGTGGGAAACGATGTTTATCCGATAAGTAAGATTTGTTGATAATTTCCGCAATATATGACGACACGATGTTGTTGACTTTATTGTTATTTATTTCTTTTAAATGTTCGCTTTCGTTTTATTTGGCTGAAGAGATAAGTGCATATATTGTATATTTAACTGAAGAAATAAATGCAGTTAGATATACTGATCTACTTTTTATATATGAATTCACAATAGACTCATTTTCAGTGCTCTGTAAATGTATTTACATGAATATTAAGTATCAAGGAATGTGCTTAAAAAGTACTATGAAAGTATTAATGTCATTACTTTCCTATTTGCTTAATTGTTTCAGCTCTCCGAATGTTCCTGTCAAGAAACAGCGTTTTAATGAAGGTGTTTCGGAAAGAAACATAAAAAACAAAAATGATTATGGTTTCTTTTTCAGTGATATATTGCATAATCAGTTGTCTTTTTTTGGCTGCTCTAAAACAGTAAATGATTTCAGATAGGTCAATACAGACATTGAAAGTTCCGGATAGAATTCAAATAACACACCAGTCTATTCCTTCAAATCTGCCTGGTTCTATCACACCGTTCACTGGATCAAATGATAATTTTAGTTCACAGGAATCCATAAACGGTACTCGCAAATACTGACATCAGCAGTATATCTTTTTCGACCTGTCTATTTTACACTTGCATTTAAAAATTTGAAATTATAAAGGGATTAAAGAACATAATGTTTGCTTACATCTTGTATTTGTTGATTGGTAAAATGTTTTTGTTATCCTTCAGAATTCAATTAATTCTTAAAATTACATGAGTAACTTATAAGTAGTATTTTGTATCATGAGAAATGCATATTCTAGTTTGATTCGGTTTGTTTATAGATTTATTTTCATCAATCGATACAATTTTACATTTAGAGAATTTCACGAATCATATTTTTAATTGTTTTTATCAATTGGTAGCTTTATAACTTTTGTTTTCTAACTTTTCCTTTGCTATTGCGGTGGATTCATGATGTTGCGTTGGTTTTTCCTCTTCATTTTATTGATGATTCAATCGGTGTCATTTAGTATTTTGTTTGAAATATGTTTAATCGTATTATGTTTGCAATAATACGTGAAAAATATGTGAAACATGTTTGAAATTTGTAAAACTTTTTCAGTGTACATTGCATTTTTTCAATATAAATTGTTCATAACGCAGTTGAAACTCACCTTTAAGTTTTAAATAATGTGAAATGGTATATAGATTCATAAAAAACCGGAGTGTGCCGAATATTTGATCAATTATTAATACTTATAAAATGACAGGAAACACCTCCTGCAGGTGGAAATTAGATATTGAAGGGTTTTGGTCATTGAAATGGTTCTTGACGTTTGATTTATGAATTGATGATTTGTCATGGGATGGATGCAGTTATTAGTGGGGTTTACATGTTGACTTGAATAAACTGAGAAGATCGGAGGATGTGAAGCAAACCAGTTGTAGGAAGTAGAAAATGATTGTGCAGGGCCAGACTTGGTTCATTTCATTTTTGATATAATGTATATGAAGCATTTCCTTGTTAATAAAGTATAAAAGTGGAATTAAGGCAAACAGGCAAGTACGAGAGTCATCATTTTTTTTTAAAGGAAAGAAATTATTTCCAAAATATATGATCAATGCTGAAAGTATTTAAGTAAAATAAGTGAGAATAGCAACTTGTTACTTATAATACTTGAGCATTTCAGTACAAAATGTAGTTAGGCTATAGTTATCTGTTTTTTTATTTTATTATTTTGTAACCAACAAAAACAGTCAAATTTGCATATGATTTGAATATAGTAGAATTCGAATATCTCTTAAGCACAATGTCTGAATAACAATGAATTTTTGCAATGAAAGTAAGTAATTACAATGTGAACAGAATGAATAATAATATTAGTTGCATGCTAGTATAATCTAAATATTATCCAGTTGATTGAATGTCATAAGTTAATTAGAGTTGGAATTGAATTTTATCTGATTATTCATACAAGTACTTCCGTCACAAGGTTAACTTGTATGCTTTTACTGATGAATAAAAAGCACTTAAAATATCAATAACAAACAGTATGTTTTTGTTGATGAATAAATAACAGTAATGTTAAAATTTATTATTATTATTATTATTATTTTTGTTATTATTATTATTATTGTTATTATTATTATTACTGTTAATGGTGTTATTTTTGTTGAGTAGATTAAGTGCAGTCAAGAGTAATTACAGATGAATGATTAAGCATCATTGTTGACTGATTTTATTTCATTTGTATGTACTTTTGAGAAGTGACAGTACAAAAATGGTTCCAGTAATGGCATTAACTGAATTACTGTTATTTAGGTTTTCGCTGAGTCATGCTGTAAGTTAAAGTATTCCAAATTTTACTATTTTGTTACAGTTGATAAATAAGTTTTGGAAGCAAAATATTAGCCAATATCGAAATATAAGCCAAAACTACTAGACTAGAATTTTTAAAAAATTTTTTAAAAGATTTTTAAAATTTTAAAAATAATTGCAGTGATTGATTTTATTTGAGAGTTTTCAAAAAACTTTTTTGAATTTACTCAAATGTTCGAGCATTTGTTGCTTTAATTTTTTTCAATTCATAAATTTACATTTTAAATGGAATTATAAAAGCAAGCGAAGTAAAATTTTTATAACACTGATTTCAAAAATGTGCTGATTTTCAGTTACATGCCTGATTTTCGAATCTCTAGATACTTTTTGTGGTCACAAAAATGGTTCATAGTTTACATTTTCGGTTTCAGTGTATTGGCTTAGGAGGTTGTGGGTACAGTGAATGCTGCTCAGGTTCCAGCCATGTCTGTATCAAAGCTCGTGTAAATTTTACTTGAAAATTTAACTGATACTTTGACTTGAAAAATCAACAGATTCTGAACCAATGTTTTGTAGTTAAATACTATCTTGACAGTATTTTTCATAAGAAAATATTTTGTAACATAAAACACTTTTATGTAGGCAAAATATAAATTTAACTTTTGTTGTACAAAAATTATTATATTTAAAGTTGTGCTCTACAATCGTTTCAATTTATCTCCTACAATTAAACAAATAATAATTTTTATTGATTCGATTTAAAAGATTTGTTCAGTAGAATTGAAACCGCATATTAGTTGATGTTTTAATGATCTTCCAGGGTACAAAATCCCTTAAGGTGCTGTCTGCTGACAAGAATCAAAAACTCTTACCATCTGCAACTTTACTTGCTTCTACGGTTTTTCATTTTATACCACTTGCTACAATTTTATATTTTAAATTTAGATCACAAAAAATTATTAAAAGTTTATTTTTAGTTTTGCATTCTTAATAATTTTATGAAAGGTCAATTTTATGCATCCAATAAATATAGTTATTAAAAAATGCTTTTTCGTAATTAGCTTTGAAATTATCTTGAATGATTCAGATTGAACTACTATGAAGTTCACATTTTATTATTTTTAATAAAATATTATTTCAATCAGATTTATGATGAAAATGGTATTTTTTTGGAATGTTGTCGAGAGCGAGGATTGCCAGATGTGTGCTTAAAAAAATGCTCTTATCTTACTTATAATCAGAATACTGTAAGTATTGAATTTGGACTGTAAGTCTGAATTTCCATTTATCTCACCTAATTTATAAAAAATTCGATACAATTAGTAGTGCTTGAAAAGTAACAATTATTGGAAAATAAAATTATTAGTTTTTAGAAAGTAATTTTGATAATTTTCATGCATCCAAAAAGTTAATATAAAAACATTTATATTGATTATTTTAATGTATACAAATTATTAATTAAATATAAAACGTATAGTAATGGTCCAAATGTAAAACATATATATACATAATTAGCACTGTATGTAAATACGTTATAATAATCAGTAAACAAATTGCAAAAAACTGAAAAGCATGTAAGTAAGATTTTGATCAACAATAAATTTTTTCATCCCTGATATTTTTCTAGCTTCGAAATATGTTTCTACGATTAGATTCCTGTCCAATTCAGGCAGCTAATGATATTCACTTTTGCGCAGCACAAGGTCATGACCATAGACAGTGCTGTGCCATGAATGAGGTCACATCAACTTCAGCTCACCAAAAGTGCTTAATATTTTGTGATCAAGTGGGTACTTCTTCTAAAATTAAGTTTAGTGATAAATGTAAATTAATAAAATTTATTGCTATTTGGATAAAAAGCATTGTTGTAGCTATGAATGACTTTGACCAAAATTTTTGCATACAGTTGTAATTTTTATGCTTGTGTTGGCGTGACAAAACTTGACCAAAAATGTAATTTAGTCATACTCTTAAAAAATATACTTTAGTTCTACATTAGAATAAATACGGTCTATTTTCAATTGACTGACATAAGATCTTCTCCACAAATATACTAATTATGCTTTATTTAATACATCTAAAGTCTAAATTATATTAAGTTAATATTATTGATCATATAGTTCCGTCCATAGAATTAAGACTGATATACTAATAGTCCATATCATAGTTATTTGATTTGGTTCAAGTAATTATGATAGAGTTTACGTATCTCAGTCTGACATATAAATCAACGAGGAAATATGTTGAATTTTTCAGAGGCCAACGAGTGAAATCCAATTAAATCTATCGTATTTGCCTTGTATTGAACGATTTGAAAATATTAAAGGATGTTTTTGGCGTTGGGCTCAAAAGCAGTACAAATTTGCAAAAGACGCGATGATGGAAGCTAGGATACGTGACTCTCGACGTCTAATTAATCCTCTAGCTCAGACAGAAACTGATTCTCGACCACCATCACCTTTTAGCAATCGCTAATATTTATACGTTTCAAGTACAGAAACTACTGTTTCCCATCACTTTCATTAGATTATTTTCAAATTCAATGAAGTAAATTTTATAACAGCATTTACGTGCTTCTGTATTTAAGCATTACTTTTAATTTTGTGTCACTATTTTTCTTTATTTCTTGGATCTTTACTTGATTTGTTAGTATTCCACTACTTACTTTTTAAACTAACTTTTTGTCATCTAAAGGAAATGGCATAATATTGTGTGTTTTGAACTATTATTCTTTACTGTTTATGTTTTTGTCAGTAATTTTAGTTCCTTATGAAATAAAAACAGTATTTTAGAAAGATACATAATAATAGTAAATAAATACCAGACCAAATTAAATGTTGAGTTCAAGAAATACTGAAGTAAGCAAACTAGAGTGTGACCATAGGTATGCTAGAAAGTAATGAATGCATAAACCTTTAAACCTTGTAGAATTATATATATATATATAATTCTACAATTCTATACAAAATCAAAATCTCTGTAGGAGATTTTGTATACTTGTAAAATGATATTATTGCAGGACTCACTTTGATATATTTATTTGTAATCAGAATTTGAATAATCAAAAGTGTATGCAAACAAACAAATATTTCTACAGAAAAAAATGAAAAATATTAAAGCAAAAACACAAAAATGTCTCACAATAAAATTTTTCAAAAATTATTACTAAAAGTAATTCAATCAAATTAATATTTGATATTCATAAGAATTTTTTTGCACATAAAAAATGCGACATTTGCTCATATTTTAATTCATTATAATATAAAAATTTTGATAGTAAAAATTTTATGAATTTGTATTTTTGAACAATTCAAACTAATTCGTTTTTTGCATAATTCATTTAAACAAATCTAATTGCATAAAATTGCAAACATTTTTATATTAATAAAAGCAGACAGGAAAAATTGTATGACATTTTATATACTATATGTACTACTAAAATTATATCTAATGATAATGATATAATTTTAGTGCTTACGAACACAAACGAAATTCACACTTTGAGAATAATATTAAAAGTAAACAATGAATAACATAATATCTTTTTTTTTCTATTAAGAACATTTTTCTTCAACAATGTAACAGACACATAAATGAACAAATAACAATAAAAGTATTTTCCGATGAAAGTAACAAAAATTTGCATAGTAACTTTGATCTCATAAAGTAATGTAATAACAAGGTAAGTTATTGCTTTGCATAAATGGAACAGATAAGACGTGAAATATATGCATTGCAAAAATTTTGTTGATACATACTGAAGAAAGCATATGAATACTATTATAAATTAAAATGTAAAGAATACATTTTACTAAATATGTCAAAAATTCGAATCAAATCAGAAAATTTTTGAACTTGAATACTGAATTGCTTCAGGAGAATGATCATTAATATACAATATGCTCTGTACCATGCATGACTTTTGACTTCTGACATTGAGCTGAAGTATAAATTTATTAAATTTTATAGCCAAAAGACTTCAAATTATTTTACTTTTTGCTGAATAAATTTTGATGCAATGTAATGAATAATTCAAAACTGATTGTAAATTCAAAATTACAAAAATTAAGCTTGTATTACTCTGGTGATCAATTTATTCACTGTAGGGAAGAGGTACCGATTCGAGAGAAACATGACTGTGAGAACATTCTACTGCTGTTTTCTATTTTCCTGAAATTTCGCTTATTTCTGGAATTTATGTAAGCAAAATTTTATTTTATAATTTTTTAAAATTACAAGTATTAGTCTTAAAAAGAGAAAATGACAAATAAGCATAAATTGAAGTTTTTAAAATTTTTTTATAATTAATAAATAAAAATTGAAACCAACATAGCTTCAAAGTGCTCTGTGAGTTGATTCAGTTTGATATTTTTTGTAAATGTTTCCAAGTCAAGACAGGTTTGCTTGCCACAGTTCGCAATCCTCTGGTCAGTTAGTTTACTACTAGCCTATTTAAAAGACTAAAGTTATATTAGTTTGGATATAATTTTATGACTACATAAAGTTTATTTAATAAGCAAACAATATTTTAGTTAGTAATGTGAAAATTTTTTAATACAAATCAAAAAAAAAAGCAAAATTTAAATACTTTGAAAAAATGATCGGAATTTTCAGCGTAATTCAAATTGCTTCCTGTTAAGGAAGACGAAAATCCAGCATGCTCTGCAAACGAGGAATGATTTCCCAAAGCAATTGGTGAATTAACATAGTTAATGCTGAAAATAGAAAGTAATAATAGGAGATTGTATATTCTAGTAATTAAGATTAATTACGAGATAATAAGAATTATGATTTTATTTGGGGAAAAATATAAACATTAAGGATATGCACATCGCTAAGAGTAATGAAGCAATCTGTTTCAATTAATTTTTGTTTGAATTCTGTAAATTAGACGTCTAAATTTAGTGTACTTACCTTTTATTTTTGTTTCCAACTAAGAGATGAACTGGAAGACGCGACAACGAAGTGGAAGAGAGAAAAATCTTTTTAGAATTTTTGCGAAGATTTTTATCCTTCTGGAGCTGAAAATATTGGTCTGTGATACTATAAACATAATCATTTACTTAAATTTTTACTCTATTAAGTAAAAGTTAGATTCAAATGATTATCTACTATGAATAAAATATGACAAAATTGAATAGAATTCAATTTTAATTGGCAATTACTTTCATCTCAGTATCGAATCTTTTTGAATTATTTATACGCTGATGAATATACTGACAACGTGCACCATACGGGCAGTAATTCCAGACCGAAAATTTGTTGCACAATTGAGTTTTGTATTTTGGATGTGCCTAAAATTGGTACCAACAAAATGTATATAATTTTATTGAAAAAATAATAGTAATAATTAAAACACTTATGCAGGAAATTAATCTTAAATTGTGAAAGTAATTCTCATTGAGGAAACTGTAATGTTTTTTTCTTCCTTTTAGCAACGTGCTTTACAACAAACCAAAATTCTTTAATTGTGTAAACTTAGTTCAAAGTTTGAGAAGGAAAATGCTAGAATGATTGAACTACCTGAGGTGGAAGACGAAGTTCATCTTCTCCATGAGCAAATACACACTCATCACCATATGGACATGCAAGACCTTCTCGAAATGACCGACACAACGAAGTTTTAAAAGCATTTTTCTTGCGACGTTCTGAAGAATAATTTATGCTCTAGCGAAAATTGAACTTTCATTATTATTATTGAAAATTCATATATTTATTAACTTGATTTCTTTTTATTAGTAATAATTATTTCGATAGCATTATAGCAATGTTTATAGTGTAATATACCATTAATTGCTTACTATGAATTGTTCTCAACGGAAAAACAGAGCTAACTGAATAATTTTGCGAAAAATGACAACTCATTACTCCAAATTAAGTATTCTAATTAATTCGGGAACACAAAAAGTTTCGAACTGCAAAAGCTAGCAGTAACCTCACGGAATGACAGTTTGTTTCAAATTTTAAAATACTAACAAAATTAGCTAACCTCTCTGCAATTTTTCACGTTCAGTATCTGTTAACATTTGCCATGTTGTACTACTAGATTTCAGTGAATTTTCATCTAAAGAGGCTCGATTTTTTCGTCGTTTCTGAAAGCTAAATAAATTTTTTTATGATCATCAATGAATATGAACCTGAAATGTACAAATAGAAACAGTTAACAGTTGCAACTGTGAAAATAATCTCACATGACTGTGCAAATATAACTGTAAAAGTAATATAGTGATAATTGCTAACATTACAGTTACTTAAAATTAATTTTTAGACTTTTAAAAATTTGTTTAAAGTGCTTCAGCATTTGTCAATTCAGCTTTTATAGATAAAAAATGTCACTAAATCTTATAGTAATAATTTATTTTTGATGAATTTCATTTAAAACGGTAATGCTTATGTGATTCATATACTATCCAAAATAGTAAACATACCTCGGAAAGCCTTGATAACACACGTTGAAGAACCTTTTCAAGCTCACTATCTAAATCATTTTGAGCTGCTAACTCATTTTCATCTGAATCACTTGAGAAATTCTGTAAAAAACAGCATTTCAGATTCAGTTTATTTTTTGACTGTTTTTTTTCGTTCAGAAAAATTTTTTGCTTAAAGTAATATAAATAAAAAAACCAGAGTTGTAATTTTTCGTCTTGCTTTAATAAATATTATTTTAATTCATTTTGTGTACTGCAGTTTCAACTAGTTTTAATTAATTTTTTAGATTAAAGTCAAATATGAACTAAAGTCAAATATAGCTCACAGAAAGCACTCGTTAACAAGCTAATATGCTTAACTATTATTATTAACTACTAATTGTTAAACTAACGCAAAATTGTACTTTTTATATGCTAACAAAAAAGTTTAAATCAAAATCAGATTCATGCTATCGCTCATTCCTAATTAGCTCAAGATTAAAACATTACTCCAAGTTTAAATGATCTTTAATGATCAAACTGTAAATTAGAATATTTTGGCAATGGATATATGAATAGAATTAAATAATATCCAGTTATTAAATAGACCTGTATCAAAGTACCATTTCTTGGGTCAAATAATGGCAAATCGATAAAGTGTAACTGTCCAGAAACATTTACATAAATTCTAAAAACATATTTACATAAATCTTGATGGCACGCACTGAATATTCACTTAGTTAAAACTGAAACTTAGCAAATATTTCATTTTATTATAGTAACTTTGATTGAAAATACATCTGTATAATTCCTTGAAGTTACAGTTGTCACAGAGAATAATTAGATGTGAAAAACCTTTTAAATAACTTTAAAGTATTTGCAAACATAAATTTTGAAGATATTCTATTCTAATAATTTGAATTTTCTGTTGCATTTCACTGATATTTGCTTTTTATTTTGCATAGTTGTGTACAAATCAGGTACACTGCATAAATAACAGTAATATTGAAGTATTTTGTGCGAACTTTTACCTATTTGGTTCTCCCCGCCGAAAATAAGCTTTCATATGCGATTGTATGCCATATAACTGTTCCAATAACGCTTGCAATTCAGGTTTTACTGGTACCATAGATTCCACCTTTAGGTGCTCAGTAGGTGTAGAGTTGCAGTCCACTAACATCGAATTTTCTATATTATTTTATTACAACTTCCAATTTGTAACAATTTTCAGACTTTGCTGTAAAAGGAATAATACTATTTATAATATACACATTTTATAGAATTCAGAAACATCGCTTACTTTAATCTATGTTTCTTTCTTGAACAAAATGCAACAATTATTTTGAGCGTTTATGAAAATTTTTGCTCAAAATGTTATTTAATAGAACAAAACTAATAAAGAAAAATTTATCCGAGTTCATTGTTTAAAAAATCATACACATATTTTAAATTTAAAAAAATCAAAGTAGTAGATTAGAAATTTAGAAATAAATTTAAATTTCTAATGTACTAATTCCAAGAAGTACTCTCCAAATAACATCATTTGCCTTTAATCGAAAGTTGCAAATGAAGAGATCACTGTAATATGAATTCATTTTCGTGCTCTTATTAAATAATACCTTCAAGTCCCGCTTGCCTAAGATCCAGAATTTTCTCTACTCACAAGTACTAGTTTTAAGAAACCAAATATGTTTCATATATTAACTATATTTATTCATAAATTGAGTTATTCGCAGTTTAACATTAATAGATGTGATCAAAAAATAATTCTTTGCATAAATTTTTGTATATGCAAATTTAGGCTTGAATTGTTATTAATTTTAGTCTTAAAAATTTCTTATTGATTTTAATCGGTCAATTTTATTATTATTAGTGTTACTTTATTCTGCCTAATTTCTCTATAAACTTGATATTACTTAAACAACTTAATATCTATAAAATGTATATGAAAAAATGAAGGGACTACATTTAAAAGTATCGGTAATGAACTAAACTACTATTATATATACATTATAAAATTTGTGGCAAACACAGTTACTACTGATATTACCCAGAATTCTGGTAAAATTTGGACATTAAAGAAGATAAAAGTTTTTTTTTACTTTTCAGCTTTGCTTCATTTCTTGAGTGATTTCTTCACATTGAAAACTTACCGTTAAAAAATGATTTTAAGACTTCAATTCACTACCATTTTTCTTCGATTACTACCATTTTCGATTACTACCATTATTCACTACCATTTTTACCATTTTTCTTCAATTCACTACCATTTTTATACTTCAATTCACTACCATTTTTCTTCGATTACTACCATTTTTCTTCAATTCACTACCATTTTTATACTTCAATTCACTACCATTTTTCTTCGATTACTACCATTTTTCTTCGATTACTACCATTTTTCTTCGATTACTACCATTTTTCCTCGATTACTACCATTTTTCTTCGATTACTACCATTTTTCTTTGAGTTTCTACCATTTTTACTCAATTAATCTCAAAAAGTTTGTTTGATCCTACAACATCACTTTTATGCTTCACCATTCAACTTTTTATAAAAAAATCATTTTCAAAACGGTTTTACTTCCGAATTATTTCAATTCATTTGACAAATGACTTCAATGGAACTTGTTTCTTGTTCTGATCATCATAAAAATCCTTTATTGACAATTTCTAAATGCAAGTCTAATGCTCTTAAAAAGTGATAAAAATATAATATTGGAAATGCAGAGTATTTAAATTTTTGGCATTAGCAATGAATTTTGATTAAATTTGTCATTTTGAAGTCAAACTTCAATGTGATAAATTTTTTAGGTCAGGTTGGTTGCATTTCTGATTATCTTTCTTTATAACCATGCAAGGTTTCATTACGAAAAAATTTTGCTCTACAGGTACTGCTTTGCAACCTTTCTATTCCAATATGGAATCAAGACAACCATCGTTTGGTATTCCCGTAGCTGAAAAAGTTGTTAGTTTAATGTTTCCAGATCTTTTCACTAATTAACACTCAAATAACGTTATTACTTGCATAAATAATCTTTGATTAACTTACATCTTTAAGGAATGTTGCCTGCATGGGTATAAATGTTCAATTGCACTCAAAACAATGTCAACTGAAACCTTAACTCGAAGTGAAAATTCATCAGTAATACATTTTGATTCTTTCTCTTGATTACAACTTTTTACGTTAAAAATTTTATGCAAAAATTTTAAAAAATGACAAAGTCTTGAAAAAGTTAGTTAATAATCAATCAGTTATACTGAATAACAGATAAGAGACTGTTATAAATTTCAATGAAAGTGAATTTTAATTACTTGAAATTCTAATTTTCAGCGCAAAAAATTGATATAGTAATTTATTATGCAACATTTTATAATTTTATAGGTTTTTTCTTACAAAATATCCATAAATTTTTGAAATAACTTAATACTTTTAGAGTTCGTCAAGAAAAAAAACTGCACGTTTTCAATTGCAGCGTGGTGAATCGTAAGCTACTCTATTTTCAACAACTACATATGATTATATACGTCTTGTGATATCAAAAAATGTGTCACGCAAAAAAGAACAGTTAATAGTGATTTCTTTTAGGTTTGCTAAGTTTAAATTCACTCAACTTCTGGGCCAAGAATATATTTGTGAAAAAGGCATTGTCAGTAAGAAATCAAAGTAAGTGATTATTAATTCGCACACTTAAAAAGTGTTCTTTACGTGTAAAAATCCATGTATTTTTAAAATACAATATCTTTACTGACCTTCCGGTTAATTAATTTTTTTACTGTTTTTTTTGGTTAATTAATTTTTTTTAAAGTTTTTTTTTAAACTTACAGAGGAGAAAAAACAAAAACAATTGAAGAAAGTTCAGCATTTCCATTGAGACGATATTACATTGGTATTGTTACACCACATACAGCTGAGCTGTTTGTCTCACGAAATACAGCATTTAGAGTAAGTGTATAAGTATTTTAGCAAAACATTAAAACAATAACAATGAAAAAAATTTGTATGAACAGTACTTTCCTTTCAAGACAGAATCAGAAAGCAAAGTCATTTTCAAGAATCACCTCAAATAAAATTATTAAACTGATAATACAACAAAATAAAAAGATAATGCTGATGAACAACTTTGCGAAAATGAATTGATAATTCAAACGTGATAAGTAAAACAAATATTAATTTGATAATAACAAACTTGCATTCGATTTGAAATGTAATTTTGGACTGCAAATAAAAGGATTAATTATGAAAAAACTTGACAATGCATTTATACACTTTCAAACTTTTTAATCTTGGTTAATTCAATTAATTTCGATCAATTCAATTCACATATGATAGATATATCATTCATTGGATGAAGTTAAAGAAATGAAGCTTCAATTATGTATTATATACAAAACTAGTCGTGGTGACTTTTAGTAAGTACTTCTATTTATGCATAAATTAAAGCATAAATTATTTATGCATAAATTTTGATTACGATTAAAAAGTTTTGTGATAATCTTTTAGTGTAAATTGGAAAATATTAATAAAATATGAGCAAGACCTAGCTGAAAATCATGCTTGTATATATGAAATAAAAATAGACTAAAAGTATGAATTCAAAAATTTTTAATTGCAAATTTTGATTTTATAAATGAAAGACAACAGCAAACTATAAAACTATTCTATTTATAACAAAAAAGCAGTGTTTTATAAATTTCCTTCTCGTGTGACAAATTGTTAATGCTCAATTTTTGATTATTATTATTATTATTATCATTAATAACAATATTATTATTATCTGATTTCATTTATTATGCTTAATCTTAGCCATTATCGGATCAAAGAACAGTTTGATGCAATATTCCAAAGGGATATACTATATGTTGATTGCGGTGAAGAAGAATCTCCAAAATTTCTTGGTATTGAAGCATTAATTAAATATTACTCGTAAGTGTTTTATCCTTATAAAATAAATTATACCTTGAGTCTTTTCAGACTTACAGAAGAAAACTTAGTTTCTTAACTTGCATTTCAAATTTATTTTAACTTATATTCAGCACAATAGCTTCGGTCTTTTAATGAAAGACTGAATTCTTATTCTCTATTAATTGTCATGCTATCTTAACTCAAAAGTCGAATTGAAGATTATATTTAATTCAAAATATGTAAAAATTACATTATGTATTATTTATGTGCTGATCGAAATTGTTGAATAATACTTCTATAAGATCAACTGGATTAAGCTAACACTTGTCTATACGGCGTAATCATCAAGTTTATTTCAAAAATTAAGTCAAATATTTTCTAGCACAAAGTTAGTCATATATGATACTGTACATGAAGTTAACTTAATCTGCTTATATTTAAATATTTCAGTATTTATGCATCGCTGCATTCATTTTCAAGCTCAAAAGGGTTGAATATAGACATATTTCCATGGTGGAACTTTAAACGATACTAAAATGATTTCAAGCTTACGTTAATTTTGCGTAAATTTAAAGTTGTCATAAAAATATAATGCAGTTAAAAATGAGCAACACAAAAATTGATCTTTAATAATCACGATGATTTTAATGTTCACGTTTTCACTTCCATTTATCGATTGTGATAACTTTGACTGCAGCCTTTGTTGTTCATAAAATTTATGAAAATAATAAAAGGTTGAAAAGGGACCTATTTTTTTAAAACATTTATTAGTGAAACTTTTATTGTCAAGTATTTTTCGTAATATAATTAACGTCAAAAACATTTTTATTCATAACAAGACAACAAAAAGCAAAAACAATAAGACAAATTACATCAATTCCAATTTATATTTCGCTTTAATTCCAAAAAATCATTCAATAAAAATTATTAATAAAGCAAACATATCTCAATAATATGTATAATAAAAGGAGAAAGTCGAAACAATCACAAAATCTAAATTTTATTTTTAGTCATTTAATTTTCTTGAAAGATATTTGAAAAGTAAGATTATTTATAAACAAAATAATTTATTCCATTCATAACGCACATATATAGCTGAAAGAAGCAGAAACTACCGAGATTGGACTATTTAATCTTTTGGATTTTATCACAAAATACAACTAAAGTTAGTATAGAACTATGAATTTATTAAAAATAATTACAAGTTATTAAAAATAATTACAAGAATCATAATTTACTAAAAATAATTATGAGTTTAAATCAAAACACAAATTTTTATTAAAAAATAAGTTTGAAAGAGGCAAATTGTAAGATTTAATGCCAGGCATTGCATCTAATTCGGAATCAGGTGATATCTGGAATGCGTTGACATCCATTTGTAAATAAAAGTAATTGGAGTGTTTTTAGTCGTTAGTATGTAGGAGTGAGAGATGTTTTGTGAGTTTTATTGTGAATAAATTGGTTGAGCTAGTAAAGGTAATGTTAAGAAGTAAAAGTATGGAAGTAGAGCAAGTCTTATTTGTTTCGTAGAAAATGAATTTCAGAAGTACTATTTATTACATTTATAGTGAAATTCTGATTTTGAATGTTGAATAACTGATGGCAGCAACATCGCAATTATCAACGTCTGTATCGACAGAAGGCATTAGTAATAGATCGGTGGTAACCTGTGCTACGAGACCTATTTTGTAAGCTGGAATTCATAATTTTGATCATCTTGTGACGTTTTTGATTATTAATTTACAAAATATGCAGTAATATTCTTAATACTAATGGAGAATAAATTCTGTTCTTTTGTTTTGGTTATTGAATAAATATGAACTATTTTTAGATGTCTACCTTCCACGGCACAACCAATACCATTGCCAGTGCTGAAACTCGAAATGAATACAAATTTAAATATCCCACCCTTGAATGCATGGTGTGGTGAAGTCTACAACGATTTTTGGACAAAATCTTCTAAATGTCATAGAGATTATTCTGGAAAGTTTTCAGAAAATAAAAGCTATACTAAACAGTGGTGGTTCAATGCTCGGAATAAAGACTGTTTTGAGAGGTTAAGATTCAGAATTTTCTACAGAAAAGCTCATTTAAACGCTCTTTAAAACATAGAGAAGTATAGCTTTGTACAAGTTTAGAAGTCTGACTTATGACACTTTTCTTGCATAAGTTTTCAATAATCTTTCATTTTTTTAAATATTTTTAATTCAAAAAATTGAAATCTTGCAGTCTTCGCCTTAGTGATTGCTATATCGATGCCATAGTTGGTGGCATTGACGTTGTAGCTGAAGCAGAAACACTGAAAAAATTAATTGCTGCACCATTTTCGAAGCAACCCTTAAATTTAATTGTTCATAAAATTGGTAAAACACTGTTGCTTGATAATTGTGCGTACCTTAAAAATGTAAGTTTTTAAAATTATGGAAAGATTGAAGGTAATGTTAAATGTTGGTTTTTCGACTTTCGTGTTTTCAGTACAGCTATACCAATAAATCCTCGGGTTCTTCTTCTGTAGCGGCATTTTTGAATTCTAAATCTCGGTGTCTTGTTGGTACTGATAACACCGAAACCACAACTGGGACTACAACGGGTGAAATAATAGCTGACATGCATCGAAAAATGATAGCAGAGAATCTGTATACCAGAAGGTCACACTAAAATTTGACACAGCGATTGTTTAAAATGAAATTGACTTTATTAGCTTAACATTTTCATGCCATCCTCAAGTTTCATGAAAGAAAATCAATTTTTCTGAGCTAAGGAATTTAAATAAGTCATCTAAGAACACGGCAAGAATTAAATGTTGTTAAATTAGTGTTAAATAAACAAATTAAGTGCAGTGCTTAAACATTTTGTTGCTCTGATTTAGTCAAGTTTTCTCCTTTTACAGCTTAGCACCATTGGATTATAAAACTGTTAGTGAACCACAAGATGATTTGATGGATCCAAATATGGGTATGCTTTGTATAAAAAGATTGTTTCTCAAAAATTTTCTTTTTATTTATTTCATGTCCTTCAGACCGAGTAAATGAAGCATCAAAAGCGGTCAGTGAAGTTGGTGGTCTAGTTGATCCGTTGGAGAATTATCCATATTGTAAAATAGTCGATGATGGAAGGGTAAATCATTATTTTATTTAGTACTGGTGTCTGCTTTTTGTAGAAGTTGCTGCAAATAAATTATTCTGAATGAGCCCAAATTCATGAACTCAATTTCAAGTCCGTTATTTCTACTCCTTTTGATTTCCATTCACTCTTTTATAGGTTGAATTGGATGCTTACGGTCGGTTATGGAATTTTTATGATCTGAACATGCTCGTAGATATCAATTTGCCCATATTTGGTTGCAAATCAAATCCTTGTGTCACTTTACATCCTAAGTCAGTTTGCTTTATGTTCCACCGTAGTCTGTGTGTAATTTAGTAACGATCAGTATTCTTTTATTTTTAGAGATCTCAAACATCGTCCAATTAATTTTTTGACTGGAGTTGATTTATATTTGGATCAGTCAATGTGTAATGCACCTGAAGCATTACTTTGCTGGCATTTAGGTGGCTTTGTGAAGGCAAGATTCAGTTATATTTATTTTACTTCCTACTTTTTTTAAATTTGTCGCCTTTGTGATTATTGAGGATTTTTATATTTAAAAAATAAGATCAGTCTTTTAATTAGCAAAATGATTTCTGCGTTTTAATGCTAACTACCAGTTTTTCCATTTCCAGGAATATGAATTAATACGCACCGAGGACATACCACATTTGGAAAATTCAAAATTTGATCCACTCATTTTAAGAAATGTTACTGAGAATATAATTGCATTTTTACAAGATAAAGTAGCTCAAGAAGGACATACATACTGGTTATGCCATGGTAAAAACCTTTGAATATTAAATATTCATGAACAAATTTATAGAAAAAGATTATCGCTATATTTTCTGATAACAGCTCGCAAATTTCATTTGGGGTGCAAAAATCATTTACTGTACCGAATTCAGATAGAGGAGACAGTGATCGTGAATCAATGTTGCGATTATGGGATTTGACTCCACTGTGCGGTGATTTGCTGGAAGACTCAACTGCTAATCCATTCACATTGAGTGTGGCAATACTCATCTATAAAGTAAAAATGACTTACTAGTGCTTTCATTTAGGGAGCTAAATATAGTTTTCTTCGAAGTTTGATATCGTTTTTTTTGTACGATTTTTATGTGTAGAAATCACTTGTTTCATTTTTATATCATGGACTGGGAAGATTTTGAGAAGATTGGAAGTTGTGGTCGAATTTTTTCACTCCTTAAAGAGATTATTTAGTGTAAATGGACTGTTTATTTATGTTTGGTAGGTACAGCAATTTTAAATTACTTAACAAAACAGTCTTATAGAGCAGTTTCTTTATCTTAGCAAGCTTTTTCATTCAGGTAGCTCGCAATCTTATGCGACGTTCAGCTCATAAACGCCCTAAACGTATTGCTAATGCTGCATTTCGGTTGCTAAATGTTTGCTTAGGTATTATTGATCAACAAAAACATCCACAGGTTTCATTTTTTGACTTGTTTTGTTTTCTTGCAATTGAACGTATCACTTGCTCACTCATCTTGATATTGTGTATAAGTACTGAACAAATCGTAGTGAGTGGTGAGCAGTTCATCAATTATTTCCGCTAACACTTTATTCACATCATGACAGTATTTTTCATTGATAGACACATTGTAAGAAAATGCATTAGATTGCACTTTCTGTGGTATTGCTTAGTGTTCCCATATTTAAGATTTCGTTTTTTTTATCAAAGAATTCGAAGTTCGCACAGTCTAATTGTAGTTTTTAACGTTTGAAATTGAGGGCAAATAGCTTTTAGTATTGCTTTAATCTAGAAAAGGAGAGTTGAAGAATATGTGCAGCAAATGGTTCTTGTAAGAATGAGAAAAATGAGTTTTCATGTGTGAATGTTTTAGATAGTGGCATGCGTTTACTATTTACTAGCAAACTTGTATCTGTCTTATGGTGATGACGCAATTAAGCGCAGTCCTGGTCAGGAAGAAGAGTTAGAACTTTCTGAACCTCAGTGGGCCTATGATGATAGGTGGCAGCGAGAATATGGCGAGGAGTACGATAGTTACGCAGCCATTTCTGTAAGATTCTTCATCGATGTGCGAAAAAGCCAATTTAAAAAGCAAAAAAGTTTAAAATTTGAAATTATGATAAAAATTTATTTTCATCTACACTTTACTTTAGTTACTGATCTGCAAACCTTGCTCTGTCACACTATTAGTATTTAGTGACGTTTGTGACAAATATGGATGGAATCAAGTACATTATATTCAAATCCATAAAAGTCGTATTGTAATTTTTATTCGCAAAAAGATTCTGTTCTGAGTTTAAACGAAAGTCATTTATAGATTGAATCATTGAAAAAGTCTCGGTACGCAGTGGGTAAACGGAGTAAACCACCCAAATTACGAACGTTACCGAACTGTGCAACTAAGGAAGATTGCTGTAAGGAAGCTTTAGAGCACTGCTTAGAGGTTCGTGTTATTTTTGAGAAAAGCAAGTCTATTAGGACAAAAAATTTTATTTCTTATGTGATCCGAAAAATGGATGGTTGTGCGTTGTGCAAGTTGCTTGATCTAAAATTTGAATGCGTAAAAAATAATTAAATAGCAGTTTGGATAAAGTAGTTTTATTTAATGCTCAGAATTAACTCATAGAACATAGATCTGCTATTAAATTCTTTATTGCTTTTGAGTGTTTTTTGTTTCAATTTAGGGCTTAAGATACATGGATCTGTTTGATCAAGTGGAACAGGAGTCTCAGTGCTTTGGGAAACCTTTGCCTGATCCGATGTCTTTTATTCGAGACATGCATGCAAATATTGATCATGGTAGAGGTTAGTGCATCTGCTTGTTTGTCATTTTGAATTTATAGTCATTCCTCCTTAATTTGCTGATGAGTTGTTAATCTTGATTTTCTGATGATTTAGAAAAATTTTGTCCAAGTCACATGATTTTTATCGTGTTTGGCCAAAATTTTGTTATTATTCATTTCAGAAGAAGCGGATGCAGTGCTCAAAGTGGATGTTCGTTCTTTGTTATTTATTCGGGCAGGAACTGCTTATCGAATGTTAGCAGATAGCTCTTTCATTTTATCAAGATACGGTCGAACATTAAGATTTGCACGTGTCGGACTCTACTGTTGCCGTTAGTATTTAACTTCCTTTCGTCAAATTAGTTTGAGAAAGTAATTTGCAGTCATCATATAAATACTGCTTGATATTTCTTTGATAGAACCAGAGGAAAAATTTATCTCAGCAATGATTGTGATTGTTTTTTGTTTCAGTTGCAGTGCTGACTTTAAATGCTGGTATTACTTCCGAACACGGTCTAAGAAATTTGGCTACTGCACGAGCTTTAATTCCTGCTATGATGTGTCATATTGCTGAAGCACTTGGGAATATTGCGTGTAGTTCATTACCAATTAAAGATCAAGCTAAGGTGACTTTGATTTCAGTAAAGAAGCTCTGTAATAAAAAAATTCTATTCTTTGGATTATTCCAATCATTTTCAAATTTCCAATAACTTGCATTTTTTGCATTAATATGGGTTAGAGCTTATTTAGGCTGATCTGAAACGTTGCTATCGTGATCAGCAAATCAAATCTCAAGCATTAGTTTGTTTGAATGCTGATGGTATGCTTTCTTGGTTCTTTATCTGAAAATATTGCTTTTTTTTAAAGAATTTTGTAAAGCCTACAATTGCTTCTTTTTTATGTCCAATGGTTCCAAGTAGTTTTATGCGTTTGATGATAACAGCTACTAGGTTCAACGAGAATGTATTTTTAAGCACTTAAAAAATCCAAAAACCAGATTTGTTTAAGAAGTGATATTTTCAGCCTTAACCTCCAGTTCTAATAAATTTAGAATTCTCGTTATAAGCATTTTTGTACAAAAGCATAGAATGTTTGCTATTAAATAAATATTTTATTAATTGTGATGAGTATCTGCATCAAAATTCTTATCACAGTTGATAAAATATCTTATTCCATAGCCGACAACAGGAAAGATTTTTAGTTTTTGATGGGCTGAAAATATGAATTCATGAAATCATAAAAACAAAACTTTTTCATGCAGTCATTTTCGAGATCTTTGGTGTTGTCGGCTATGGAATAAGATATTACTTATTATATGAGTATGAAACATTTTTTGAAGTATATTTCAGTATTTTGTGTATTGCAGCTAAACATATAATGATCGAAAAATTTTATTAAAAATTTTTAACTTCACATAGTCATCAGTGCTTTCAGACTACTTCAGGCTATATCAGTATGCTAGCAACTTTTCATTTAAATAGGCTTTTTCTCATTTTATTATTTTATTCAAGCGTTTTTTAGAAGTAGTCATATTTGAATATTATATGATCACTTTGACATGCCATTTCATGAAATTCGGTATACTCTTTTGTTTATGGCAGTATGCATTTGAGGTCGTCCGTATAGTTGGGCATTTCCCAAGACTTTTGACATGCCATTTCATGAATTGTTGACGATTTCGGAACGTGCAGCAAATATAGCTATTTCAATGTGTGAAAAAATCGGTAAGCTTACTTTTAGTATTTAAGTAAATAAGGCCCAGTTTTTGTTTTTATTCGATATACTTTTTTATAAACTCATTCCCAAGCATTTCGTAGTTGTAATTAAGAAGAATTTTAATAATTTCCTCTCATTAGCTTTCCTTAATTTGTCATTGTAGCTCCAATGTCTTTGTTTCTGCCTACAGCAAATGCTATCTTATATCGGGAAGAGCTATCTCGTCGCTTAGGTAATTTGAAAAATGTTTTGGCCATGCATCACATAGAGCGACTAAAAAATTTTGTGCAACGCATTACACAAAAAGGATCGAAAATTTTGTCTAACAAAGGCGAGTATATTCACTTCATTCATTAATACTCCTTGTGTTAAATGAAAATAAAGCCTACTGGTTAGAATATATGTTTGCAAACTCAACTAACTTGGTTAAAAAACCGTGAAAGTTGTGCTTCTTATTTTAGATACGATGCAACAATATTTGGCGATGGATATTAACGTGTCAGACATAAAAGATGATGATAATGATGAAGAAAACTGCAATATTTCAGAACCTGAAAAATTGGTGAAAAGAACAGTTAAAACTGGCAAGGAACTTCTTTTGCAGGTATTACCTCAAAACGTTTTAATTCAATGAAGAAGGTTCATTTAAGCGATTATTTTTTTTCATTATTTTTTTTAAGAACTACTTTTTATCATGTGTGATATCTCTAAGATAATAAAAGCGATTTTTTAACAAAACATACTGTATTTCTCTATAAGGACAAAAATGAAAAAATATTTCAATTAACAGTCGTTTTTTGAAATTTTCTATAGGGCATTTCGCTTTTTAATTCGGTTAATGATCATGTCAATGAAGCATTTCTTTTATCGAATATTGGCCAATTATATCGTTTACAATTGCATTGTCAGATGTACTTTACCGATTTCAATCTACCCTATGATCCAGAAAAAGAAAAATACTGCGTTCTGCAGGTTAGCCTAGATGTATTATTCCTCATTTATTTTGGTGTAACATTCTCTCAAAAAACGTCTTGTTGTCTTTTTTTTGCCCTTTAATGACTTGTTTCTATAATGTTGCTGCTCATTTTATTAAGAGCATCAATTTCATACTCTTGAAACATTATTTTATTTAGCTTTTTTAGGCCATAGAATATTATCAGCAAGCATTAACTGCTGTTGATGAGCTTCAAAGTATTCAAATTCCACTTTTCGAAAGTATTAGCAAAGATTTGGCTGGTACTTACCTCACTTATGCTATAAGATTGCAAGATAATGTACAACCAGGATTAGTGAACTCTGGTTCCCAAAAAGTAATTTGATTACTTACAGCAAAGTAAAAAACAGTTATTTGAGATTAGTGTTTGACTTTAATGTATTGCCTATAAATTACTATTTTCATATAAGCTTTTAATAATTTATTCTTGTTCAAGCAAACATATTTCTTACAAAAGTATGGTTAAAATTGAGTGTATAAATTGCTGTTTATTGAAGAATATTGCACTACCTTTTTGCAGTTGGCAGTTGAAATACGCGAATTTTTAGTGCGTGCTCAGTCGGCTTACACATTAATTCGTGATTCGTCGAAATGTTCTCCAAAAATGCGTTTTATGGCTGATCGGTCAATTGTTGACATCCTCTTTAGATTTGGTAAATTAGCGCAGCATGGACTGGTAGGCGTGGTTTTTGTTTCTGTTTTTAATTTTGCTTATTTTGAAGTCTTTTTCATTATGTGAAAAAATTTTCCACTTTGTTTGCTTTTGAAAATTGTAATTTTATAATCTAAAATTATATGGTTCATGATCCAGCTAGCAAAAATGTCTGATGGGTATGGGTCATTAAAATTTAGAGACAAAGAAATCTATTACTGATGTTTTTTCATTCTTCAATTACTCTTATTTTATTAATCCTTTATAGCAATACTGTCGCTTATCTCGTAAGCTTAAAGATAACGAACGTCAAGCAGTCGATCACTACCTTTCCTGTTTCAACTACGTTATGAAAAAAATTAAAGGTACTACGACTGCCAAGTCTGTTACGACAGAAAACTTATGTTTACAGGAATGTATGATAGCTTTAAAAGCAATTGTTGAAAGTATCAAATGCTCAGGTTAGTTTATTTTTAATATAAAGTCGTACTATAACAAATGAAAATAGTTTAATTCTAAGCTTCACAACTTTATTTCCCTAATTTTTTTAATCCGTTAAAGTATACTGTAGCTTCCGGTATACTTTGCTGGTTTAAAGTTCCGTGAATAATATTTTTTTGAAAAGTCATTTCTAAACCTTTTCAGATATTGTTGTTCGTATCTCTGTTACTGATGTTCGTGTGAAACGTGCGCGTCGATCCTTATTTACGTTATTTATAACTACGCAACCGTTATTACAGTATTTACATGAGACTGCAGCACAAAATGTAGGGCATTTTTCTGTCAGCATCCCTTATAAATTTGTGAAATTTACCAGCTGTTTAATTATATCTTAAAAAATTATGTGGGTTAATTAAAAATAATATCATGAGGAAATACAAGTAGAATAGTTTAATGTGAATTTAAGAAGAGAAAATATAGTTTTTAATGTTCCTCCATTAGTAATTCTGTGTTAGAATTCAATTAGTTTTCCTGAATGTACTATACGATAGCTTGAATGCTTTGAGTATATTTTTTGAAGCTGTCTTGGTTTACGTTCATTTAATTAATTGCATGTCATTTTCTAGTTATTGTCATCTGTTTATATTAAATATACAAGGTGACTTAGTACTGACCGTTTTGTAAAAGTAATAGTATGAGAAATATATGAAAACGGTGGTAAAATGTTGTATATCTTCCATAAGTAATTGCACAGCATTTATGTATCTTGCGCAGCATGTAATTTTCAAAAGTACCTATGTATGTAAATTTGGACATTATCATAAAATACTTTGTTTCTCATCTCATCGTGATTTAAAAAAGTTTTATATTTGTTTTCAGGAGAATTTCTTAGTGGATTTAAACAATCAACGCGAGATATTACATTCATTTGTAGAGTACGGCCGTACAATTGTTAAGGATGTTTTACAGGTATGGTTCTTGTGTTTATAATAATTTTAAACTTTTTAATTATTTTTTTAGTTTTCTTTGATGTGCTGAGTATTTCAGTATTTGATGGAATATAATTATTCGACGGATTTGGATTTATGGAAAAATATTTATCGTCAGTTGTTGCAAATAGAAACTGTAGATAGATGTTGTAATATATCACAATTTTTGACTCAAATAAGTAGCTGTGCGAAATATATAAATAATTGCTTCAAAAAGCTGTGAAAAACTGATAAACACTCGTGTAAAAAAGAGCTTGAACAGATTTTTTAATTGAATTTATGTTTCACAGTTTTCAGTGCATATACATCTTTTAAAAAATAGGATTCTCTGATTTAAATGTTTTTCTCTTTCTGAAAAGTGTTTCCTTAAAAATTATTTAGCATGTCATCATGTTTATTTTTAACAACTTATGTTTTTTACTAGTAGTAGGAAAATGGCAAAACATAGGTTCTATCACAGAACGAATTTTTTTCAGTACGTCATTGTTAGATGACTTATGCTATGTAAATTTATCATTACTTTTTCGGATCTCTTGCTGTTTCATTTGTTAAATGAATGATTTTCGTTGGCTGTAGACAGTGGTTGCTTCATTAATGATTAATTGTTCAGTTTTCGTCCT